CTTTGAGAAGTGGTTAGAACTTCAGATTAAATATAAATTTGGCATGGATGCTCTAGGTTAGGTTGTATCATAGAGCAGAGATTCCCAAGCTTTCTTGATTCATGGCACCCCTAGGCCAAAAGAAACAGCTAACCACTCTGGTTATTAAGAAGGTAGGTCCTAACAACTTAAGAAATATTTGTGTCTTAATTTTTTACAAGAACTATTTGAAAAAAATAATACATGTAAATTGAAATAAATTATCTATTTCATTCTAAAATTGCCATAATTATCTATTAATGGGAGGTGTGTATCTTTTGGGCACTGCACAACTTCTCAAACCTTGAAATAAAATCACCTTCATTCCTTGTTAAACATTGATTTTTCACTTGATACTTGTGTTTTTTTTTTTTTTAATCACAGTAACCACCTAAAACCTAGTCTTACAAAGATACGGTAACATCAAAAAATGTTGTGCGTTTTAATGTTGAAACTGTGGACTATTTTGAGCTAATAGTTTTACATGGTATCTGACAGATGTCGCTGTGTTTCCCTCAAAAATTTAAAATATCCCATGGCGCTCCTGTGAGTTCAGTGCAGCACCTTGGGGGGCTTAGGGGTCACGCAAGCCTTAAGAATATCATTTACCCTCCTAACATTTACCTTTTCTTCTTCCTCTCCCTCCTTTCTTCCCTTCTCTACCTCTCTCCCTTCTTACGTTTTTCCCCTATGCTTATTTTATAATGATAAAACCTCTTGAAGCTTCGTTTGTAACTCTAATTCTCCCTCCAAGACATCTTATAATATACATTGAAATTTCCAACCTGGAGTGAAGTCAATGGAAAAGCCTATGTTTTGACTGAACGACATATGGAAATCTGATGTTTAGACACATTTTCCTAGTAACAAAGCAAAGTTTTCACCAAAGAATTTTTACGTTATCCTATTGACAGTCTTGCACTTGATGAACCAGGGAAGATAGAAAGAAAGAGAGAGAGGGGGAGGGAGGGAGGAAGGAAGGAAAAGAAACTTGATTGTTAAATCTTTAAGAGTGCATCAAGTACCATGCACATTCTTGGAGCAGGACGAAATGGAGAGAAAGGCTGGGCTCCCCCAGAACCTAGGCATCCACAGAGTTAATCCTAGATACCCGTCTATTGGTTCAGGTCAAGTTTAGGTGGAAGATGGGGTCATGGGAGCGGGAAGAGTATACAGCCTAGAAGCACAGGCTTTGGAGGCAGGCTGAGTTCAAGTTCTGCCTCTAGAACTTAGTAGCTCTGTGCCTCTGGCAAGTTACTTAGTCTTGTGTGTTTTAGATTTTTTTTTTTTTCCTCAGCAAAATGGGAACGATAGTACCTATCTCAGGGTTGTGTTTTCAGGACCGATGAACACTTGTAAAGTCCACATCATTTTGTCTGACACGTTTAAAGGCTAGAGAGTTGATGGTTATCAGTATTACCATTATTATCAAAACAGGGCTGCCTCACGGATGAGAGACAACAGAGACAAGGCCTGCTGAAAAAAGTCAAA